TGCGCCGGGAGTGTCGGATGAACGGATGATCTGACACTCTCGGCGCAGAGATGGGGGGCCCGCTGGCCGCTGGGTACCGATCCGGCGCTGGGACTGTGCTGGGCCCCCTAGAGGCCGGAGGCCCTGGTGCCTCCGCACCGCCTGCACCGGCGGTAGTTCCGCCACTGCTGCTAACTCTACTGAGATTGTGAGTTTCCGACATCTCACCAAAACTGTAAGTTACAGAGATCACACTTTCAATGCTTAGACTGGGGAGGCAGAACAGCGCATACCTCCTGTTGGCTAAAGTATGTTTTAGTATCCAAAGTATTCTACCATAATGAAGAACTCCAGGAATTTACAAAAATGTACCTTTGCAATGGGATGGAGGAGAGCTGGTGATTTTATATCCTTTAATGAGACCCTGCTCGCTATGTTTTCCTCTTAAACCATTTTATATGTGTTTGGTTTAAACTTTCTATCCAGGAACACTCACAAATCTAATATTTACATTTTATTGAATATTTATAGAAAGCAGCATTTTATATACAGCGTATAAAAGGCACAAACATACAATAAACAAAAATACAGAAGTCTGCAGTCATATTTCTTACATATAATCAGAAAAAAACTGTACATTCTATAATACATAGCACTAAATGTCAATGCAGTGTACATACCACACAGCTTGTACATCATACAGCTTCAAGACAACCATATTGATCCACACCAGGCAGTACTTACATTTACCTTACAATATGTGCATATTGTAACTAGATGAATATGTCAAAGCTATGATGATGGTCATTATCCTCTCTACCACTTGTTTTCCGCCTTGATCTTTTATACAAACTAATTTATAAGCATTTGTTGCTGTTTTCATGTCTTGTCGCTTACCACACACACATCTGCATATAGCCACCAATACCTTTAGTACTTAATATTAGTACTTAATACATAAAATCCTTTTTGTCTGCCTTGATGATCACATATAAATACCACATTCATCATGGCATGTCACACTTTGGCAAAGTCTAATATCAGAAGACTACGAAATGGGCCAGTCTTGGTAGAATTAACTGGAATACTGTTAAGTGAAATATGTAATAATGTTTTATGAAGGGTGCCTTTTATTCATTCAATATTTTGTATGGCATGTAAAATATATACCTATTAGCATATTGGTGGCTAATCTAAAATGGCTGCGTGGATCTTCTCCATGGTGATCGTATATACATTGCATCAATATAATACACAACACAATTTGCTGGCCATCTGACTCAGACACTGTGCCTACGGTTGTTAATCATGGTCATGATGTGAGTCAGATCCAGACTTTTCATCATCAGATCCATAAACTCCTCATCTTTACGAGCTCCTTCCACAAACTCTTCAAGAGACAGTTCCCCTATAAAAGACAGAAAGCAAGGGGAAAAAAAATCCCCAAAGTTTTAATAGCAATAAATATTGCAATCACTCCATGCATCAAGCAAAATCATATATTTTTATAAACTGCAACCTCTGAGTTGAATCTAATGTTTTACAGCCAACTACAGAATGATGATGAGAATGCATGCAGGCACATGAGGATGCCTTCTACCACCCAAAGAGCCAGTTTACCATTTCTAAACCTTACTTGGGTTTGCATTAAGTGACCCTAATTGAAAGCCTGTATTAGTACTACCAATATGTAAATACAGCGGTTGCCAGCGGTTTAGACATTAATGGCTGTGTGTTGAGTTAATTTGAGGGGACAGAAAATGTACTCTGATATACAAGCTGTACACTCACTGCTTTACATTGTAGCAAAGTGTCATTTCTTCAGTGTAGTCACATGAAGTGATATAATAAAATATTTACAAAAATGTGAGGGGTGTACTCACTTCTGTGATATACTGTATACAGGGGCGTAACTAGAAATCCCAGGGCCCCATAGGAAAACATTTTATGATGAGGAAAGGGGGATTATAAAAAAATGAAGGAACGCTAAACTGTAAATAAGCGATTTATGTTAGAAATGGTTTTTGCGCTGTGTTGGTGTTGTGATAAAATGATACAGGCGTATATATTTAATTACAACACAAGGTATCACAACGCACGGCAATGCGTCACAAAGCTTATCCATGTGCTGCCACAGTTAAATTAATGTTTTTTTACAAAAGAAAAAAATCATGCAGTGCGATGCATTCTAACAACGCACTGGAGTGCATGTGCCTGGCATACACCACAAATATGGTGCACGTGTATGTTATGTGTGTGTGGGGGAGGGTTGTGCTTTTTTTGTAATTTACACATTTTTAATTTATTTTTTAATTATTATTATTTCACTGTTGGGGGGGCTTCGGGGAAATATCTGGGGTTTAAACAGACCCCTAACATTCCCCCTCTGAAATAGAAAAAAACATTGAGGACACAGAGTCCTCAATGTCTTTTTCTGCAGCCTCAGCAGAATGGGAAGCACTCAGTACAGAGGCTTCCCATTCATTCACAAACTGCTGTCTGTGTCAAGCAGATTCTCAATGGGGAAAAGCCTCTATAGCAGGGATGTCCAAACTGCGGCCCTCCAGCTGTGGTGGAACTGCGAATCCCATGAGGCTTTGCAAGATTCTCACAGCCACAGACATGACTCCCGGAGTGAGATGCTTCATGGGATTTGTAGTTTCACCACAGCTGGAGGGCCGGAGTTTGGACATCCCTGCTCTATAGTGAGTGCTTCTCCCCATTGAGAAATTCATGAATGAACAGGAGGTGATTCATTCATAACTGGGGACACATAGTACTATGTGTCCCCAGTTATTTACAAACACTGGAGAGATCAGACGATCACTCCGGTGTTTGTGCTGCACACGGAGGATCTGTAAATATCAAAGATACTTACTGATCCTCCGCTTGGCCACGTACACAGCCGCTGTCATCCTGAAACTGACAGGAGGACAGCGGCTCCGCTCTCCTCCCCACCTGCCGCTCGATCACGATGATCGCGCTGCAGGCGGGGAGGAGAGCAGAGTCGCTGTGGTGGTAGTTCCACCACTTACTGTATGTATACAGTATATATGTGTATGTATATATATATATATTTATTTTTTGCATTTTAATAAAGTATTTATTACTGTATTATGTGAAGTAAATAAGTGCCCAGTAATATCTGCAATGATATTTGCTTGTTTTTCTTACCATCTCCATTTATATCAATCTTGTCAAATACACGATTGGTAAACTCTTCGGTTGTTGTGTCATGATCACAACCATTAATTGCTCGTACTGCCTGGGGAGAAAATAGAAAAATATTTTTAATATTAGAGGTATTACATAAAAAATTTCCATAAAAATTTGAATATATGCAAACAAAGAATCATAGATTTTTCATGAATCAATACTGCTCAAGGCCTGGTTTATACCTAGGAGTTTTTGAGCATTTCAAAAAAGCTTTTAACTGCCCAACACAAGAAATCCCATGATTATCAAAAGCCCTGGTTCACACCTGAGCAGAAAAACGGCAAACGCGTTTTTGCGTGTTTATAAGCATGTTCTTCCATTGCCCACAATGATTTATGAGCTGCCAATCAAAATGCGCTTCTTCATGTATACGCGTTAAAACATGCATACAAATGTGCACAACATGCAAATAACCGCATGCTGTTAACACGTGAATAAATGTGCAAAAACTGTGCCGCCTAGGTGTGAACCCAGCCTAAAATCCTGAATTGTGTCAACCTGTAAAGATCAAACATATCTACATGGAAACATACTTAACATATCATAATTACTGGCACAAAAAGAATTTACATTTTCAGATTGAATGTGAAAAATAGTGTGATTTTAATAGAAATCGGCAATGTTTTGTCAATGACAATTCACTTTTACTGATTTTTACTGTATACTTGTACAATTTTTTCAAGTATACAATCAAAATAAATTTAAAAACCAACATACATTGAAGACATACTTTTTCAATTAATATTTGTTTTCTACTAACTTCTAATTTTGCGGAAAATTCACTTGGATGGCTAATGTTGAAGTAAAGGAAAAAAACACTGACAGGTAGGCTTTTTATAACAGAAGAGACTCTGTAACAATTGCTGCTTCTCTGCCTGTCAGCATCTGTTTGCACTGCGCCGCATATGCGGAGCTCAGTACACCAGCTTGTGCCGAAAAGTATTTATTTACTTATTTATTACAGGTATTTATATAGCGCTGACAATTTACGCAGCGATTTACATAGTTGCACATTCACATCAGTCCCTGCTCTCAAGGAGCTTACACTTTATGGTATGAAGTAACTCTTGTGCGCATGTGTGGGAGTTACATCATCCTGGTCAGGCCAATCAAGAGACCAAAGATGCAGAATCCAGAAGGAGAACGAGAAAAGATGGAAGCACCAGTGGTGGAGGAGAGCGCTGACATTGCAGCACGTGAGGGAATCACCCGAATCGCGGCCGCCCCAACCCGAGAGCTGCACGGGCCACCTAAGAGCCTGAACAGCCTCCTGAGAGCCTGAAAAGCCCCCCTAAACCCCGCACAGTTCTCCTGAGACCCTGGAGACATCAGGCCGCAAACCCGGATCAACACAGAGTATGTAGCTTCATATTATTCTGCATTGCTGTATAATATATTGCTGGGAATTTAGTAGTCCTCTATAGCTGATAGCATTACTCTGCAGTGCTTTACAATGTATTGTTGGGATTTGTAGCCCTCTATAGTTGGTGCTATTCTGTATTGTGTAAAAATGTATTGTTGGGAGCTGTAGTCCTCTATAGTTGGTGGTATTCAGCAATGCTCTGTAATGCATTACTGGGATTTGTCGTCCTCTATAGTTAGTAGTATTATTCTGCCTTGCTGTATAATTTATTGCTGTGATCTATAGTCCTCTGTAGTTGGTGGTATTCTGCATTGCTCTGTAATGCATTACTGGGATTTGTAGTCCTCTATAGTTAGTAGTATTGGATGGCAAACACTTCCTGGCGGCACAATATAAAAACTTTATTTTGGCAGTTTACTACTACTTTAAAGGGGTTCTAAAGCCTCCGTTTTTTTGCCTATATCTACTGCTGGCAACCAGTAAACATAGGCAAAAAGTTTTTTTAAAAAACAAAAAACGCTTTAACAGCGGTTTACACTTACCTCGTTATCGCTGCGCGCTCCCGCGCCGAGAGTCCGGAACTGCTCGTGCCGCCACAAAGGATCTTGGGGCGGGTGCATGCGCAGTTCGGATTCTCGGCTGGGAGGCAGAGACGCAAGGTAAGTCTATGGACGCGTGCACCCGCATGCAGACACCGCTGGATCGGAAGTTAAAAACATCAGGAAAGAAGAAGAAGATCGGATTAAGAGACATCATTTAAGGTAAGTGCTAACATTAACATGGGGGGGGAGGAGAAAATTCTTTTGACTTTATTGTCATTTTAAGTTGGCCATAAACACAGATATTAACAGTGACTTTATACAACTTATGGTGTCGCTCAGCCCCCCTTGTGCTATCTACGTCTAGCAGCTAACATCAGGGCATAGAGGAATTATATTCAAGCAGTTTTCAGTCAGTCTTGCAATCACAAGATGCACATAGCATGAAGGAGCTGAGCGACAGCATGATAAGCAGTTGCTGGGGCTTAGGTGTCATATGTAACAAGCGTATGAATCTTTGATGGAAAAAGTATGGGAACCACAAGGAGAGAGCTGACAAAGTTTGAAAGAATAATTGCAAGTGAGCCAAACAAATGCAGTGATCATTTTCAATCATTGCAAGGTATTTGGGACAAATGATTAAGCTATTATATACTAGTGGAATGGAAATTGACACTACAAATTGACACTACATTACATCACACCTTTACATAACATTAATAACATGTTTTAACTATATACAGAGGACAATAGCATTACGTGACTTGTTTTTCATGTGTCAGGTTACTGGGTCACTTTTAAATTAATCTGTCCTTGGCAGATTAATGTTCTTAATAGGAGATTAATCATAACTATCCTTAAAGCCATCTAAATTGACAGGACAGCTCAACAAGCACCTTCAGACCTGTCTAAACACTTATTAGGGAGGGGATACATGCCAGGGCAGAAATGGGTGTGTCATCAGACAGACTGAGGCATCAAGATGGTGGGGGTGGCGGCATAGCAGTGTGAATGAAGCCTAATACAGTTACAGGGGTTGGGACAAACCATATAACACTGCCAGGAGTGTTTTCAATGGATGATGGATGTGGTTTCTTCATATTTTACAATGTATCTATATAATGTATTTTACAATATGTATAATCTTGTTTAATTACATTAAAATAAATACATTAGGCATACACGTGCTGCTTGGACCAAATACTTTCCAATTTTGCTATGAAGCAAACCCAGCAATGTATGCACATTTAGGACAATAAGGAGGTTAACTAAAAACATAATAAGGTGTGTTAAAGAAGAACATTTAGCAAAAAAAAAAAGTACATATATGATGTAGTCTGTCACTAGCATGAACACAGAGTTCTTTCTTTTTTCTGAGTCCCTTACTCAGCAGATCTAATTCCTTTAATGTGGTCACAACGATGTTTGTTTTTCAGTGAAATCACTGTAGTGTTGTCACCCTGTGGACAGGGTAGTGTTTGATGGATAAGCTTGATCTGTATGTATGTCACTCAAATCATCTCTGAATTGGTGCTGACACTGTCCTTTCTTCTGGAGGATGGCTATTTTTGTTCCCCATGGTCCCTGTGTGTTGCAAAATAGTCACCACTCCAAGCTCGCTCCCATGATGGACTACAATCGCAATACAAATTAGTAAACTAAATGTGAGATTGTAGTCCATCACGAGAGTGGGCATGAAGTGTTGGCTACTTCACAACACCCTCAGGGACCATTGAGAACAAATGTAACCAACCTTCAAAAGGAAGGACAGGGTCAGCACCAATTCAGAGATGCTTTGATGATCTACTACTGAGTGATACACAAATAAGATACATTTTTGTGAATAGTTAAGGTACTTGAATGCATTTTTAAGAGTTAACTCGTGAGTTTAGTGTCACTTTAAATTAGCCACATGGTTTTATTTGCTTTGTCCCAGCTTTATCCCAACGGTTTCCTTTTGTAATTGTATCAAAGATTTAATCTAATCCAATTAAGTAAGCAGCAGAGTGTTTTTTCACCCTGTAGTAAGACTGTCAGCTGTTGAATGGGAATAGAGCATATATAAGGTATTTTCATATATTTAGATCCACAATGAGAAGTATACAAGTATTTCATCATCTACATTTTAATTATTTAGAAAATATTGTATTTTAAGTTGCATTCTGTGTATAGGAACGGACCACATTCCTCACTTGGTTACATCAAGGGCATGCACAGGATGACTCTAGCCACAAAGGCATTTTTGCAGAAATCTGCAGTTTTGGAATTTAGGGAGCCGAGAGCTAAAAGTGTATTTTAAACTCACATCACAAATATCTGAAACATTCAGAGTATAGTGAAAGAATGTTAATGTAGCCCTTTGTATTTTTAGAACATCAGTAACAAAAATTAGATTCAAGTTCAAAATCAGCCTCCTACCATCCATGTCGTGTACATTCCAGCCAAATGAGACTACCAAGCTCTCTCATAAATTCTCCATTGGAAAAGGCAAACTTTACAGTAATGGCTAATACAAGAGGACAATATGGGATATTCAGATGATGTATCCTGGTACTAAAACCTTGCTGAATTGTCCCATTGTTTCATTTTTGTGCACATTCTTTAGGGAAAGGCATTTGACTTACCTAGCTGATCAAGCTTTATATGATTAACATTACAAAAATACTACTGATAGGATTTACTTAAATGTATTCACAAAACATAAATCCTTTAAAGCAAAGTTTCACCCTTGGTCTCCTGTAATATTACAATGGGTCTATAAAACCATATACTAGATGCTACCAAGCCCAAGCTGGGCATATGAACCAACTCTGGCATATAAAGCACACCAAAGTACAATCATGTTCATGATAAGAAATATCAAGCCTGCATGTCAATAATATTCTGGCACTTGTACTCCCTTAGTACCAGTGTCAGACTAGTTGGCTGTAGGCTACAGAGCTGACTGAGACTGGGCAGGCAGTTTTTCAGGTAAGCACATAAACCAAAGCAGACATACCCTCTGACAAATGTCAGCCTGAAGATCTGGACCAACACCAATGATGGTTAAACATTAAAATGTCTTTATTTTGGATAAAGCTAGAATGGAATAGACCCTATGCCAAGTTTTTATTGCAGTCTGCTTCCTTGTTGGGGAAGATTTACCCCCTATTTGTTCTGGTGACACGTTAAGCATATAATTGTGTGAAATTATACACCATTCCTGTAATGTATAGAAGAAAATTAGAGATATTCTTACTGTGTAATGACTCTTGTGTTTATAAGTACATGGCTTTAGAAAACATTAGGTAACTTTTGTATATTTACGATTCCCAACATTAATTTCTGCTGTTGTTTTAGGGAACCTGCTTGTTTCAGGTTGGTGACTCAATAGGTAGGGAAGACATTATCAAGATAACAGCCCCAGAGCTTGTACCTTTGAAAACCATGTCAGCAGTGGCACCTGCCATGTTTCTGACCTCTAAAGTTCACTTCAAGGTATATGGCACTCAGATTAGTGGTAATATAGTTAATATATGATATAATGATAAATATTTGAGATAGAGCAGACCTTATACTCAGGAGGTCAATGTAAAAAATGCATTTAAGTAGCTTGATTATAAACAGGAATGTATCTTATTTGTGTATCACTCAGCTGTAGATCCTCAAATTATCTCTGAATTCACACTGACACTGTCCTTCCTTCTGGAGAGTGAGCTGACTACTCAGATGGTGCTAAGTTCAGTGCCAAGGCTGGGCGAATAATACAGCTTTTTCTTCTCCTGATCTGCACAGTTGTATCCTAAAATGTATCCTATTTGTGTATCACTCAAATCATCTCTGAATTGGTGCTGACACTGTCATTTCTTCCGGAGGATAGCTACTTTTGTTCCCCATGGTCCCTGTGTGTGTTGTAAAGTAGCTACCACTTCAAGCTCCCTCCCATGATGGACTACAATCTCAATATAAATTAGTAAACTAAACATGAGATTGTAGTCCATCACAGGAGTGACCTTGGAACAGTGACTACTTTACAACACAAACAGGGACCATGGGGAACAAAAGTAGCTACCCTCCAGAAGGAAGGACAGTGTCAGCACCAATTCAGAGATGATTTAACGATCTACAACTGAGTGATACACATGTAAGCTACACTTTTGGTAATAGGTAAGGTACTTGAATGCATTTTTAAGATATAACTCCTGAGTTTAGAGTCACTTTAAGGTTTAATCCTTTTTTTAGGGGAAGTTAAGTGGTTGGATTTGATGGAGACCCCAAAATGTGTACATATGTCTTAAAACATCTGCATTCAATACATATTACTCTCATTACTGTTTATATAGCAAACTCTAACCTTGATTATATTTAGCAACTCATGTCTGTCAATGCAACCATTCCCATCCACATCATAGAGCTTGAAATACCAGCGCAACTTTTGCTCAATCTTCCCTCGAAGTACAAGACTGAGTGCTGCAACATACTCCATGAAGTCTATGTATCCATCCTGGCAACAAAAAAACAACATTATTGATCAAAAGATAATACGGTATAATCTTAGAAACCCACAACACCAAGAACAGATCAAAAGGTATATTGGAGGTGCTAACAGTTTAAGGCACATGTGTCAAACTCAAGGCCCAGCGGCCAAATCCGGCCCACCAGGCCATTTCCTAGACTTCTACTTTCAGATCAAGGTATTAAGTTATTACTAAAACCAGTGATAATCGAATGCAGAGGCAATTATGATAAAGATTAGATACATTTATATAGTCTTACAGGCCCTTTGAGGGCAACCATAATGTTCATGCGGCCCACGATTAAATTGAGTTTGACACCCCTGGTTTAAGGCATCAGGTTATTATTTATTTTGGGGACTTCAAATGTTAGATTTTTTTAGCATTTCAAAAAAGATGCTCCTCAGTGACGTCTCAAAGAATACCTATAATTGTAATAGTCTGTGAACACCAAAAACTTTTTTTATGGGATTCCATGGGGGGTCCCAACTCATATGTTGTGTACTCAAGCTATCTAACATGAAGTTAAATATTAAAATAGTACCCATTATTCATAATCTGATAGCTGTTGCACTGTGGCCATTAATAATTATGTCTTAGAAGAATGCAGTCATTGTTGCATTGGGTTGATTTATTTAAGGCAATAAGGCTGTTCGCTTTGCAGGGTAATTTTCCCTTAGCTTAGTTAATGTGGTGAAAGCTCACTTTGCATAGAATACCCAATTACATACAAAGAAAATATTTAAAAAGGTGCTTTTGGATGATGATGAAAGTCACCTCACGGAGCTAAGTGAAATTTCCCTTGCCTATTTGCCTTTAGTAAATCAACCCTAGTTTGTGCAAAAATGACAGTCTAGCAAACTATTTATGATCTACTTGGCATATCAAACTGGTGTTTCTTTTGGTGCATGGATCAATTTATCCTTTTGTGTGGCCCTCAGTTAGTGCCTACTGGACCAGGGAATTTTTTTCCCAGGTAACAGAGGTCCAAAAACTGCATTGTTGCTGGTATTCTGGTATTGTATGAATTCTAGGCCCACTTTTTATCATACAATTGATCATCTTACTAGAAGTATTATAGCTAGACTTTGGGGTAGTCTTTGACAACAAGTGGTACTGAGATCGAGGTTAGCTGAGGAGTTAGGAACCTGCACAAAGTATACACTATGAATTTAAATTTTTCAAACCTACCCTGGAAGTCTAAATCTCATAACCGGTGGTCACAAAACAACTGCAGTACTAACATTACAAGTGCCGTTGAGAATTATCCGGCCTGAGGTGTTTAAGGTTTTTTAAGCTAAATGGCTGCACATAATAATCATTAAATGTAAGGCTACAGGAAGCTGTCAGAGACTGCCGCCGTGCAACAGGAGTCAGAGATATAGAGATTGGAGAAACATTAAATGACCACTGCTCTTTACAAATCAATGTTCCTACATTTGCACTCCCTACAGTTTCCCTAAAAATTACTTGGGCTGCATTTATTATTTCTCTCAGCAAGATCCATTATAAAATATCAGAGGAAAAACAACCATAAGAGGATAAAAAGAATGTACAGCACTGAAAATGTAAGATGCTGTGAAATAAATAAACCAAATTATTTAATTATTAGAAGCAAAGCATAAATAAAGAAATAAAGAGTATTAAAAATACTTTTAGTTCAGCAGCCTAATGGAATCCAAAGACTACTGTCTGCAGGGACCCCGAGGATTGCACAGTAAGTACCAAAGGGCCACATGCTGCCCACAGACTAAAGGTTGGGCTCCAAGGCATCAGGCCCTATGTGATGACAATATTGACTGCATTATGAACTTTTTAATGTAGTGAATTCTGACCTAGAATTAAATATTTTTATTCACAATGAACATTGATCCATTCACGATAGTGTCTACCCCACAGTAGCTTTTACTGTAATAGCCCTTCTTCACTCAAACACACTACTGTGTTGTCAACTTATACAGCTCTGACATACAGTATTCTCTGATTCACAGGATTTACATAATTCTCTAATTCAGACAAGCTTAGAGCTCTCACGATAGTCACTGCTCACATAAGCTCTTAGAGGTCTACTCAAGTTTAACCTCCATGTGTTTTCTTTTTCATGTTATTTTAGTCTGCAGTCTATTAACAACTGCATAAAACGTATATCGTCATAACTGTTAGAGGTAATGCGGCATTGCATTATTAATTAGCTACCAAGTACTTCAGCAGCTGTTTTGTATAGACTTTTTAAGTTATGTGCACACAGACATCTCTTCTATTTTATCTTTTAAACTGAAAGAAGAGAGACATCTAGCCAAAAACGCTAGAAAATAGGACATGTCCCTCTATCATCTATCTCAAACTATATATGTGACTTTCTTTAGACCCCATGTGCACAATGTCTGTTACTGTGTAAATATCAGTGATCTTTTTGTGTTGACAGAATAATGAACAATATAGGAGCTAAGCAATCCAAATTAGGTATCAATAGACACTTTTAGGAAGTCAGTGGATGTGTGTCACCAATAATAACATATCTATTGTTATTGGACCTAAACAGTCCTGGACAACATGCAGGGGCCAGGTAGCAAATGTGCAACACAAATGTAACAACAAAGATCATCCTAATAATCATCCTAATAATATCCGTGAAAATATAAAAATACAAATGTATCTCACCTTATTCATATCAAATGTCCGAAACATTTGCTCTATGTAGCTGTTCGCATCTCCACTTAGTCCTCGCAAACCAAAGAATTGCTTGAATTCATGCAGAGTGAGCTGACCAGATGGACATTCGATCATAAACTTCTTGTACCAGTGGTGAATCTCAACTGCTTGTAGGTCATCCACTGTGGAGCTGCTGGTACTTCCCATTGCTGTTAGTCTTTTGATACTCTCACAAAAAATCAGGTAGTTTAACTGAAAGTGCTGTCTTCTTCAATTTCACTAGGGAAATTTTAGAGGACTGCAAGTTAAGGTGTCAATCTTGGCACAACTCTTTGTTGAAGTTTGTGAAGATAATCCACTTGCAAAGGGTTTAACAGGTGTTCTAATGTACAGTAGATCAAATTATCTATGTACCTTACTTCTGTGAAATATTCTCCCTTCTGAATTTGACTGTTACTAGGTGTTCTGTATTCTGGGGTCTCTCCGTTTACAGGCAGTCCCCTCAGCACAGTTCCCCAATAACAAGTCCTCGTGTTGCAGTGTGTCAAGGCTTTTAAACTGACCCTTGCACCTCTAAGCAGTTGGGACTTGGGAGGGGGTTTAATCTGATACCAACTAAAGAATATCCTGAGCCTGTAGGAGCCTCAAGGTTAATCTTAGACTTGAGAGATTACAGTTCTCATATCAGAGCCCCTGATCTCGACAAAAACAATGATACATGGATGTGTCTATTGCATTCTCTGTAGACGGTCAATATTGGTTATGGATTTTTATTGTGCCACATTCTAATAAAAAAAATGCCTTCCTGCAATGTGAAGATAAAATAACTTAAAAAATACGTATGAAACAAATGTATACTACCAATTATGTAATAAATATGAATTAGAGTATTATTTTTATTATTATTCAAGAGTTAACGTTTTTTATTCGTATTGGTTACAAAGCCTAGTTTACAGTGAAGATGTTTAACTAGAAAACTGTTGCTGAAAAAAAGCTTGAAATAAATCTACTTTAATGTTTAACATGTAAACATTTCCACATTTTAGGTACACTCAAATTTTACAATGGCGTAACCATTGTCATTATTCCGAACACCTCTTCTGGCATTTTCAGTGCAGTGACCAAAACTGTTCTCCACATTTAAAATGCGGTCTTAGAAATCTTGCATCACATGCTTTTAGCTACCATTTTTTTTTTCATCAAGAAATGTTTTATTTTGCTTTTCTTTATACAACAGTATATAAACATATCAAAAGCATGCATTTACATATGATGGCTTGACATGGATAGCGGTAAACCTCATTGCTTCCTATATAATCAATGTTGCCGTGAAGGAAGGAAGGAAGGATAGGGAAGGGAATAGGGTTCAGCAAAACATTACATTTAGCTACCATTTTATACATTCCAAGTTCTTCAGGCCTGCCTTTCCCCAACTCTATTCCATTTAAAGAGAAAATATATATCAAAGCGCTAAAGGTGTAACTAATAAAAGACTTAATGTAACCAAGTGACCATTTAAAGCCCAACTTTGGGCTCTGTGCTCTTCCCCTCCATAGGCTCCCCTCCCCACCTTGAAATCTCCTCAGTGGTATTTTGTGCTTAATATTTTTATTTTACCTTTTTCTGATGTCTTTTGATCATTCACACGTTATCTGCAGGGTCCTCTTCCTCTTTGGTCTTCTGACATTGGGTGGTCCTGAATCATACTGTGAGCAGCACTTATTCCTAACAATGAACACTGATGAGAAGTGGGATTGTTTAAGAATATATTGCATAATGCTATTACCAAGTGCATACCATTGGGCAACGAAAATAAAAGATTGAGAGCTAAGCCTGCATGGCTAATTAAAACAGTAAGACAACACATCAAAAGAAAAGAAGCTGGCATTTGATAAATATAAAATGGAGGGGATTGCATTGGCCTTCCAGAGCTATAAGGAATGCAATAAGACGTGTAAACATGAAATCCGGGCAGTTAAAATAGATGACAAAAAGCATATCGTCACAATCTGTAAGAAGAACCCCTACACATTCTTCTAATATATAAATAGTAAAAATGTAAGAAAAGAACAGGTAGGCCCAATAAAAGACGAGAATGGGAAATCAATCACAAATGACAGGGAGAAGGCTGAGGTATTAAATACATTTTTCTCCTCAGTATACACTCAGGAGAGTGACGGGTTTAATGGAGATAAGAATGTGAGTAGCTTAATGCGTAAGATACTGCAGTGGTTGACAGTAGCCAGGGTTCAACAAAGACTAGAAAAACTGATCCGGGGTATTAAACCCAGAGCACTTAGCACATCTTGTGGCTGGAAAGAGGTACTGCATGGACAGCTTCTGACGAAAGGTTAGCATTGCAGCCTGAGCTGCACCTGGGGGACATTTAATAGAAAATAAGAAAAATAGCCCAGAGTTGGGATACTCAAAGTGTGCAGTGAGATTAGAGTAAGCAATTTCAGTACAGGAGAGGAGCTTTTACAACTGTGCAAGACTGAAGGTAAGGCTGGAGTTCAGCTTTAACATTATACTTAATCTGCATTTAACTATTTTGTTGCTATCCTAATAAAATGTATAATTTCTACATACGTTTGAGTCATAAGAAGAATTTTATTTTTTCCTGTTTCATCCACCGAGTAAATAATAATAATGATAATAAACAACACTTTAAATCTGGACTGTTGATTTTTTTTCTCCTGTCCTCTAACTGGTTAATTACTTCGACCCAGTACACACATTCTACACTAGTCTTTGCATCCTCAACTTTTGTACCATGTCATTATAAAGGGCAGTGCCGAATGCTTTTTAAAAAAATCCAAATATATTACATGAGTACGTGACACCTCATAGGAAATTATTGCATTAGTTAGACATGACCTATGTTTCATAAATGTATAGTGATTATTAGCTACTATTCTCCTCAATAGATTTTCATATCATCCATTACTGCATTGAAATAACAAGTCACACTATTAAACCTTGGGGGAAGATAGAATACATTTAAGCAATAACTAAAATGACTGTCCCCCAACAAACACAATTTACTTAATTAACCAATTTCAGAAGGATTTGCTTCAAGGTCTGTAATCCAGGGCAGAGCCAAATCATCCACAAGGCAACCTAGGTGTCACGCCCTCTCCTCTTCTACGATCCAGCGGCGAATCTCTTCTCCAGTGCGCAGTCATGAGCACTTTCACCCAGAGTGCCAAAGCCGTGGCCAGTCAGGAGACAGCTCTCCTGGTTGGTGTTAACTTTAAATTATGAAGCAACTTGTGGCTCAGTGCTTCAGCAACACATTGCTATGTCTAAACAAAGCCCACCTGCTGCAGTATCTCCTGTGCGCTCCTGTAACCTCTGTGACTCCTGTGCACTCCAACAACCTCTGTGGGCCCTGTGACTCCAGAACACCCTGTGTCTAAAGCCTTGTTCACACCAAATGCAGAGCAGATCTGCATGAGTTTCTGCACACGCAGTGCAGTGGGTTGTGCCGCGTTTTTGATGCGTTCCGGGCCGTTTTTGGTTAAAAAAAGCAAAACTTTTTTTTTTTGTTTAAAATGGGCTTTCAGTGTGTTCAGGCGTTTTTGATGCGTTTGCATGCGTTCCAGAGCAGGTAAAATAGGGCCTGCTGCGTTTTTTTTTACCTGCTCTGGAACTGAACGCTGCGATGTGAACTGGAGCTAAAAATACCATTGGAATACATTGGACGCAGTTTTTCTCCGGTCTGTAACTGCTCTGCTCTGCACCTGCTCCGCGCTTGGTGTAAACAAGGCCTAAGTGACACCAGTGACTCCAAAGCTCCCTGAGCATTCTTTGTCACTTTGTGACCCCTATGACTCCAGAGCATCCTGTGACCCCTGTGATTTCAGAGCAGGCTGAGCATCTTGTGTCTCCCACTGATTGCTGTGACTAGTTCATTCTATATGCTTCTGTGTCTCTTTGTGCGCCTCAGTGTGTCCTGTGTTGTCCAGTCACTCTTTGCGTAATCTCATGGACAGGCTCTTTCCTTGTGGGCAGGGACCCCTGTCTGTGACTTCTACATTTTGTATGGCATTTATTTATTATATGGTATCATTTGGTCTAGTGGAAATTACAAAATCTAGCAGAGTCGCTATCTAGTTGGACTAGTTACCACTTAAAGTAATTGTCTTGTTAGGAGGATAAATATGTATCCTTTAGTAGAATCATTGGCTTCACTGTGTATGCCACTTTATGTATTGCTGAACTGTCTTTAATATTGACAGTTTATTTGAAATTGGATAGTACAGCTCTCACTATACTTCTTTTGCTGCGACTATGAAAGTTGTGGCTCTCCTATACAGAAGCTGCAGTGTCATTTATCTGCCCTTCCTCTTGTCTTGGCTCTCCTCTTACCCATTCAAAGAAATCTTTGCATTCTGTGAACCAAAATATAAAGCAATGTGAATTGGCAAGGGGAGAGAGCAGAGGACAAACAACACTCATGCTTCTATGTATGAGAGCCGCAGCTCTAAAGGCAGCAGCGGGACAGATGTATAGTGAGAGCTGTGCCATGCTTTTGTCGATGGAACTGGGTGTACAATTGTGGGCAGTACAGTCCTATATCCAATCACATGCAGGCACTGTTTGGGTATTCTAACAGTGGCATACAATGGCTGACAAAATACTATAGATCGTCAGCAGAAGATTACTAATCTGCACTGTTTAGTATGGATGGAGGAGTCTGTTGGATATCATTTGTTCAGCTCGCAGACTGAACAAAGGAAACTTATGTATGTATGGCCAGCTTTAGCTCCTGCTAAGCATAGGTGCTTACCAGACTGCCTATAGCTCTCTCCAATTTGATGACATCATTGACTCATTTTTGGATCAGGAGCCCTGAACCACCATTTCTCCAAATGGCCTTCCCAATAGGCTTGCTCATGTGGTAAGGCTCTTGGAAATCAGGGAAAAAACACAGCAAAGGCTTGGAAAAGAGAACTGTTGAACCACCAGATTATATATGTACACCCCGTCACATCACATATAACCATTAACATGGAAATGTCATTTGAAAAGTAATTTTTCATATTTTTAAGTCTGCAGCTTTCATTAAAGTAATACCTGGTGACTCTGCCATGCAGGTCCCTGTTCAGTCTCTATCCCTCTGCTGCTGCGTTGTCATGCTTTAAGATGGGCTTCTGATGGAGACCACAACTGCCTGCTTCTGCTTCACAGTTTTCACCATCAGGAAACCGGCCCTGAGAAATGCCTTGCCTTACCAATGCTGGACTGTATGCAGAAAGGAAGTGTCAAAGAGGATGTAGTAGAGCAGCAGCACTGAGATGCAAAAAAAGGATATCAAATGCTGAAAACGAGTGTTTTATTAAAAAAACTAAAGGAAATTGTTTATGACACACAACACACAGTGCTTTGGCAAAATACATGTAATTCAGTTAAGGTTCACATCTACTTTAAAGTAGTATCCAACTCTCTTAGCTCAGCTTCCCTGAACTTCGTGTCCAGTACAAGATCACAAGGGAGAGCTCAGTCTCCAGCAGCTGTCTATCTACTAGCTTAAAAAATGGTGAAGGGTGAAAGGAGGAGCAGGGAGCATGGAGGAGGAGAGAGGATTGCCTCGCTGTGCTTGTGGACATACACACAGCTTACTAACACACAAAGGTGGCTCCATAGGACCCTGCAAGGGAAAGAAGTTACCCTAAAACAAGAGATCAGGGGCCTATGCTCAGGGGACCAGCTGATTTTGCACAAAGCAAAAACTTTTAAAGATGAAGGAGCAGCATCCATTGTAATTTATACCACATTTGAAATAGCTGACCTAATATCACTTTCTTTAGTCAAACCTTTTGTATTATGCATATGATTATTTCTGCATTTGCCCAGTTTTTACTGCAGGAGGTTACATACGCCTGTCACAACATATTTACAAAATCACTGCTGGTTAAAGGCTAACTCCACCTTGTATACCATGTTCCAGTGAAAGAACTGCTGCAGGAGCCTGTGTGATGCACACACCAACCACGGATCTCAGTTGCAATGCTTTGCAGGTCCAAAGCAAAGAAATAATAAATGCATGTTTTTTGCTTTTTGCAATATGTGTGCATTTCTTTGCACTATGCCTTTAAACCTCCCTACCCTTCTAACTGCAGTCTGGCTCCTGTCTTGTATTGTTTGCGATAGGACACACTGCTTCTTTCTTATTGGTCCACTAGAACGCTCACTGATTGGTCCTCTGTTATGTCCCCTGCTTCCACACTGGCTCTTCCGACGTTCTGAAGCATGCTTTTTAATTCGCTGTCTCGGATTCGCTGTCGAAGGTCACACAAGGGGCGGAGCCGGACCGAAGATGGCTGTGCTATTGGTGGAAACTTTGAAGGGAGGCGGGCCGTGGCTGTAATCCGGAAATGCTGTGCTGCTGATGTGGCCGGAGGAGGAGTCGCTACTGAGAGGTACAGGAGGAAATTCCAGATTCCAGGCGAGTTGTGTTCACCGTGAACTGAAAGACGGAGGCTCGTTCCCGGGAATCCGGGGAAAGGTAATGCAGTGACGGGAACGAGCGCTACACAGTGTGTGCGGCAGTGCTGAGAAAGCTCGCACTGTTGTATGTTTATTTACAGTGAGATAGTAGACGTGACCGCCTGCCAGCATACTGGTCTCCCTATATGTGTCACATGTGCAGCTTCTGTTATAATGTCTATTGTATGCAGCATGTTTATTACTGAGACAT